TTAATGTTATTGTCCTAAATCATGTTGTCTTCATCCAAATTCATAACAAAAGTTCCATCTTATAAATACTTGTGGTGAGTCTGGTGACAGTAGCAGTTGATTAGAAATAAGGTTTTACGTAAGAAAAAAACATAAAATTTTGACGTTGTAATATTTATCGGAAGAGTTTGATTTAATTCGAAAATAATCTTAAATAGCTAATTAAAAAATTCAAATAATTAAGCCTATATTATTTCATGGTAAACCTAATTTTTTGGGAATGCATTAATTTCCACAAGGAACCATTTAGAATAATGATTACGGAATAGGCCCAGCAAACCATGTTAGACGTGAAGAAAACATCGATCATGAAAGCGATTTTTTTTTTTTTTGTATAGAGTTATAACAAAGAGAATCATAAAAGTAAGAGATGCAAATAACAAAGCAGAGACTTATCTCCATCGAGAAATTTCTAGATTGATTTCAGTTCCTATCTCTAAATACTTTATACGGTATAAATGCGACATTGTACAAAAATGTACGAGTACAAGAGATAATTTTCAGCCACAAAAAAATTGCATCTGCTTATGTTTTGTGAATAGTTAAACAAGAGGACCATTACGACTATGAAGTTAGAATCCGAAAAATTCGACTTGATCCGAGACCAGGCTTATTTATAGGGAGCTCCACCTGAATCTTTTTATTGGAAAAGAGAAAATATTCGAGACGAGATAGGTTTTACTCAAGCTGCTAAACTCGTACTAGTAAACCAGCATTAGAAAATAATCATCCGAAGACATTTTCTCGGTTTACATTATTACATATTCACATGACTATTTACAGCAAGTTACAATTCATTGGGCCAAATTCAATATTTAAGTTTTCATGCATACAAATTTTCAGCCTGTCTACTGCGTAGAATAAAATTACACACTGCATGCCATTGTCAGTTTGTCACACAAAAAGAAAAAGTGAAAAACAAATGAAAAAAATAAGATTTTTAAATTTATTGGAACTAAGCCCGTATAATATTTATATACTAGGCCTCGGCCTTTAGGCTGGGTGTGTGGAGCAGTTAACATTTTCCCTACCGACGTTCCTTTGTCTTCGTATGCATAAGCAAAGCTATATGGGTTTAGGTTGAACAACGTGAAAGACATTCGATTTCTTGAGTGTCACGGCTCCTTTATCTCCAAGAACAAATAAAAAGAAGAGAAAAAACGTTCTAGTATGGAAAATAGTTCCACATGAATCATTTTCCGTTCCATTTTTCAATTTTTGGTCACAAAAATAATGCCACTGTTCTTTAAAAGTGCTTCAAATTACAGTAGTTAAATTTTTTTTTTTACCATTTGAATGGATGGAGCAAAAAAAAAAAAAAAACAAAAATCAGATAGATTGGACTTGTTAACTTGATCTATAAATTTTTATTTCATTCATGTTATTATGTAATTTGATTCGAAAACTTTGCCTAGTCATAGCCTGTCATATTATCTAGATTCATGAAATAATGCCACTGTTCTTTAAAAGTATTTCAATTTTCGTCATTAGGCTCTTTTGAGCACACAAATAAGCTAGTTTTGAAACTGCTATCAAAAGAAAAGTAAAATAAATACTTAATACTACGAATCAGTAACTAAGAGGGTAAACTCTCGGCAAACACAAGAGTAACTATAGTAAAAATAAGATAAAGGTCAACAACTCAGAGTTGAACAAAAAAAAAGGTGCAGAAATCTTATATATTCTCATACACGAAATCTTATATATTCTCATACACATTTAGCTGGGACTGATGAGAAATCTTATTATAAAATTAGAGAGATTTGTATAACAGCCTCCAACTTATCGGGGACCTAATTTCCAGCCATTAAAATTGTAAAATACGTTTACGACTTTAGGTTGTATCAATTAATCAAACAATTTTGATTATATATTCTCATCAGTCCCAGCTAAACGTGTATGATCATATGTGCTTCAACTACGACCTTATATGTGCATGTAAGGTAGAGGTATTACTTGTTTATCCCTCAACCGAAAAAAGAGCAATTTCTTGACCAAAAACAAATAAACAAAAACAATCTAAAGAGGTAAATGTAAAATCTCATTTTGACTGATAAGTGATAAGGCGATGATACCATCTTTAGGATTCATGTATATTTAAGCTAAATTAACCCCCAAAATATAGCCGGAATGTAGGGATTTATAAGCCGTAGTACTATAAATTAGGTTAAATCACATGGAAGATTATTGGTCGCTATATGATCCAGATATGTTCCACGTTGGTCACAGCTCACACTGTCCCTCCCATTTTTGGTTCATATGAATCCATTATGTTCTTCCTCTTATCCTCTACGTTTACATTTAGGTCCACCAAACCCAAATGTCTTGCGTTAAACGTTTCAGTCGAACTTAATTTTACTAGGTTTTACCGTCTTTGCCTTTGAGGTTTATTATCCTCTAATGATATTAAAAAAAATATTTGTAAAAGTCTTATACAGTATTCTGAGTACCTAGCTGAAAACTATAATAAATAAGTTTTCAACCTTCTCCATCTGTATAATTTGATAGAATAAAGTGTTTATATCAGTAACGCTTTTTCTGTAGTTTTAACGGTGAAATCGATTTCTGACTCTACTCATAGTTTCAATTCTTACAGGAAGTCATGCTAAAAAAGCACAATCTTATATCTTGATACCCTTTATGTCTGCCTCTACGGTGTCTCTTGAAAGCTGAATCTGCCTCGGAAACATGTGGCCCCCATGTAGCACACTGTTTTCAAGCCTGAACATACCTTATGAATATACACCAATTGTATACTTAGCTGGTTCAGAAATTTTTGGCGGCCGCGTGTTTTGATCCCTCCACGGGCACTGTTCCCTAATTTAGTGGACCGGACTTCTTTATCGGAATTGGTTCGTCCCGAGACACCTCTTCCAGAAAATACATTTGAAATAATGATACAGAACCAACCCCTTCACCTACGGATCTTAGGAATCAAGCACACGGGTTTGCTATGAGATGCTCTTGACTTTGTTATATCTGTAGAAGCTGATGTGTATTTCCCTGGTTTCAACAACGATGGCAGATTTTTCAAGTTTGGTTATGGGTGAGAGACTCCCTCGTCAAGATCAACATATAGACTGGACAGGTAGCAAGCTTATTACTCGACAGTTAATGACTGAATTTTGAGTTTGAAATTGATCTAGAGCTTGCTGGCTTCAGCTCCCTTATCCATAGTTTGGTTGAATGAAGATATTTGGTCTTATCTATTTGGCTGATCTTATCTTTCACTACTTCATGTAAATTTTATGATGTTTTGCAAATTCTCGAAATCTCTTTTCCTGTTTTACTGATTTTCTCAAACAGGAAAGTTTTTTTTTTTTTTTTGGTAAAACTCAAACAGGAAAGTTATTCAACAACTTTTCAACATTACCCGTGAGGACATGTACCATCCCAACCGTAACTGGACACTTCGTGTGAGGAAACATCTCAACTCAAGTTGCTGTTCTTGAAGCCTATGCTTTATATGACTCTGACATTGGTTACTGTCAGGGACTGAGCGATCTTCTATCTCCTATTCTCTCTGTAATCTCTGATGACCACGAGGCCTTTTGGTGCTTTGTTGGGTTCATGAAAAAATGCTCGTCACAACTACAGGCTCAACGAGGTCGGAATCAGAAGACAGCTCAACATAGTCTCGAAGATCATCAAGTCCAAAGACTCTTAGTTTTACAGGCACCTAAAGAAACTCCAAGAAGAGGACTGTTTCTTTGTATACAGAATGGTTGTTGTGATGTATAGACGAGAGTTGACACTCGACCAGACGTTTTGTGGGAAGTGATGTGGGCGGACCAAGCCGGAATGGGGAAATTCGCGTGGAGCAGGATAAGGCAGCGTGCACCTCTTACAGATGATTTGGTGCTCTGTGCTATAGCTGCCTCGGTGTTGTAGAGGAGGAAGCTTATAATAGAGAAGTTCAACAGTATGGATGAGATTCTAAGGAAGTGTCATAGTATGGCGGGGCTATTAGATGTGTGGAAGCTCTTGGATGATGCACATGACCTCGTTGTTAGTCTCCATACCAAGATTGAGCATTCGTTTTAACATGCAGGGGAAGGTCAAAGGAAAGAACAAGTCCACGCTCGGTTGGTTTTAATTGGGTTTGGTCGATGTAATCGAGTCATAGTTGGTTTAGGTTAATGTAATTGGAGAAGTTAAGTTTTGTTTGGTTTATTATTGATTATTCTTTGTTTACAATCCACTAAATAGTAAACCAATTAAAATCAATATTTGTGGAGATATAGGTTTCAAAATTTTATTTCGGGAAGATCTAACTTTTTAACTTTGTTTTCAGAGACATCTAAAATGAGGTCATAATCTGAGAGACATTGATGCTATACAATAGTTTTCGTGATAATTTTCGTGAGGAAATAGATCTTTTTTATAGTTTTGTCAACAAAGCAAATAAGGGTAAAATTTTATTAAAAAGTTTTCCAAAATTAGTAATTAAACTATATCAGGACTATTTGAACAATTATACTATTATAGTAAAAGATCCTTTTTTATAGGATTCAAATCTTTAGTGTTAATCCAATCCTTATGTGTTATATAAAAATGTGTAAAGATGTATAGATATTTGAACTTGTTTTACATATTTCTTTTTTATTTTTCTTTGAATGTCATATCAATTATATGTAAATAAAATGTGGTGATCTAATTTTCTTACTCAATAGTTGGATAATAAAAATTGGTATTTTTGAGTAACTGGGGGTAACTGAATTCTCTCTAAATTGCAAACAAATACCTACGTCCTTCATTTAGAATTCTTTCGTCTGTAGCTGTGGGAAATCTTAATCACCTAAAATCAATGGAATTGGAACCTCGGATGTCCCGCAAGAAGCTTTTTTTCACCAACTTGGAAGAGGCACTTTTGGAATTTAGAATCCTATAATTCCAAGTTTTTAGATTTGAGTTGGTGCCAAACCGATGTTTCAGTAGTTCTTGGAACCGCTTGGGCTCTATTACCGATCGTGGTGACCGTCCAATAGCTGATGGAAGCCTTCTTGATTTCTTGTGAGGCTTGGTAAGAATCTGATCGGCATTCGCCACACTGATGTATTGGATGCTACCACCAAGCATATAGATTCCGGATCCTACAAATATATATTTATTAAGTATCTTCGACTTTATACTTTCTCTTTATAATTGTATAATTCAGGCTAATTACAAAGACGGTTTAAACTTTAAACTTTAGAAAGTATAATAATAATATAATACAGACAATAGTACCGTGAATTGTTGTGTATATAATAATATTTTACTTACGTCAATTTGTTTTAGATTTTTACTTTGTTTTTTTTGGTCCGAGTCCTAAATCTATTAATGATTTGTAAAAGTTTTAAACAAGTTTTCAATATACATATAGATCCCTAATTTTTAGCAATCTTTTTTTATTTTAGCAAATTCAACTGTATGAGCAAAATTGCATTAAAATAAAAATAAAACCATAACTGGATAACATTTAAAACCCAATAAGATACAACTAAACAAATTTAACACTTAACACGACCAGAAATAACCAAAAAAAAAACAAAAATCCAAATCACACCGTCACCGTCGTCACTGGCAGGATAGTTGTTGTCTCTGTAGCCCTCCCCTTTCGGACATTTGATATCATCCTATCCCATTCTTTCAAACAATCATCCATGCGAGACTTAAAGATTAAAGCTTTCTCCGATGCTTCATCTAACTTTTCTTTTTTTGAGTCAATAATCACGATAGCTGCTTCATAATCTCGAATAGGTAGCAATGGGTCAGCGTTTCTAAGAGATTCATCAAATTCCCGTTGTTTTATTGTCTGATCTGAACACAATTCAGTATATCTTTTTTCAAGAACTCTACGATGCTTTCTCTTTCGATACCGTAAATAAACGTGTGCTTGAATAGGAATATGAAACCACTTAAGTAATCCACATCTAGATAATCCCCATCCCATGACTACTGCTCCATAAGCCGGTGCAAGAACACAATACGTAAACTTTATTGCTATAATGTAGACTGCAGCTACTAGACTAGCACACCCAATTAGAAGACTTACATCGTCCCAGAATTTCTTATATGCTAATGAATCCCTGGTTATCGTCATCTCCCAGACTTTGGTAACGAGATAACCCACAAATAAACCTCCAAACAGCAAAAGACGAAAGTCAGGCCGTGTAGTCTTTTGTGTCTTTTGACTTGGTGCTGGAGATGCCACCGGAAGGGTATCATTGTCATCTCGATTTCCGGCTAATTCCACGAAAATGAGAGCAAGGAGGATTGCGGTAATCAACAGTGCATGTAATGCATTTGACAGTGTAACGTACCTGAAAGAGAAAACATGTATTATTAAAACAGAGAAAAAGAGTATATAACTAAAAATGAAAAAGCAAAGAAGTAAAATTTACAATTTTTTGCTTTGATTGTAAGAATATGTTTTAAAAAAGCATAGAAACTAATAAAACGAACATGAAAGCACTGACGAGTGAAGATAATTCTCTGTTTCAAAACATGACAAATTTTTTATAAAAGTGAATAGGAAATGATTATTACATGTAAGTCAAAAAAAAAATGCAAAGATAAGGAAAACCTACTTTTTCTTCTTTTGGGAAGTCACTGGAAGATCAATAAGAAACATATTTTCGTCCATGTTTGTTACCAAATTTGAAGAAAAAGTAAGAGCCAAGATCGAAGAACAGAGAGTAAAGGAAATAAAGCTTTTCTCAAAATAGCATCTTTATTATTTGATTAATATCAATAGTCTCTTTTTATAAGCAACGGAACAATCCAGAACTTGGACAGCTGTGAGACAGCTATTAATCCTCATCCCCAAGCGCTTCAAATCTGGTGACGTCATGAACCCGTACAGTTTGCTTTTGATGTTTTGGTCAATATAACCGTTGCAGGTTTTAGTCTCAGAGACGACTTGCTGCTTCGTAAGCTTGTGATGCCGCATATGGGCTTTCATGGGCTTTCATCTTCAGTTACGTATGGACTTCAAATTTTTAGTCACGTTGTCTTTTTTTTTTGTTGATCACCGGTAATGACGAAAAGGGGCATGCCAATTAATGACGAAAGGGACATGACGAAACGAATATTCTTCCGTAATTACACAATTAAGGACGATTCTATGTAGTTTTGGAATTTAATGACAAAACGAAATGCTTCCGTAATGTTCAAATCTTGTAGGCATGTGTACCATACTACAATATATTAATTGAAACAATAAAATGTTATTCTTTACTTATTAATTGAGAATATAGTTTAATGAAAAATGCTGATTTGTTTTAATTTGATTGATTAAAATCTTTTCTCTATCTTAATTAAATAGAACATGGAAATAACGATGTGTAATGATAATGTAATTATGACATGACATTTACTAACACACTAGGGGTGATTGTGTAAATATATATGTTTGTAACTTTTTGGATAAATGTTAAATTTTGATAAAATAATATTTGATAAATGTTTTTGCTGTTATATGTACTCGAATGATTATAAATTTGTATAACATATTTGTTTTTAAACACTTCAAAACATAAATTCTACCAAAATAAAATCCTTTATTGGAGACAATTTTAAAATTTATAAGCGAAATAACACAAGTTCTCGAATACACAATAACAAATTCAAATACATGATTAATCTGTGTTTTTTTTTTGTTTTATCTTAAATTGTTTTGACTTATAATGATTTTTGTTGTATTGATTTTCCTTTTTATACATTTCATGCATACCAAAAAAGTTATTTATAAGGCAATTAGGTACTTCTAATAATCAAAATTTTGAAATTTTAGTGGAAACTATATTGTCTATTTCACAAAATTTTAGTTAGATTACTTGCTGTAATGAGACTTTGAATTTTAGAATACTTATGTCTTTTTTTTAAGAAATATAGTAAAAATCAAATATATTTCTATATAGAATTTTTGTTAACTTTTTACAGTTTAGCTGGTTTGGAATTGTATTGGTGTTTATGTCATCAACATGTACATTAAAATAGATACATATATATTGAACTGAAATTTTTAAAAATTAGATAAAATTTGAATTTTAATAAAATCTTAGATGATATTATGTGGATTGAAGAAGTTGATATGATTTGATATTAAAATTATATGAAATCCCAACTGAAACAATGGGATTTGGTTTCCTATATTTTTTAACTATCAAACTCCAATAAATCATTTAAAAGTACACAATATTTTTTAAAATCCACTATTCAAAATATTTTCAATAATAGTGGATTTGATTTAGTTTTTCTAAATTATTGATTCAATAACATGGATTTTTAAATGACTTTAGTTAGTTTTACATAAATTTTATGTTCAATAACATTAGTTTTGGTAAAACATTTAGAAATCACTAATTCAATAACAGGAATTTTTAAAACAACTACCAAATCTTCTGAAATTCCTAATCCAATACGCCCCTTAAATTTAACAATTTCTGCTCAAAATATTATATTGTTTGGTTTGTATATGTGCATTTAAAAAGCTGTTTTCCATTTACTTTTAAAATGAAAGGATATGAGTTCACACCATTTTATATAGATTCTGGTTTTGCAGTTACAAATGAGATCAATATTTTTGTTTCATCATTCATCAATACGGTACTTTGGCTTCGTAAACTAACTTATTTTTACATACACATTGGTAAAATGAACAAAGCCAAATCCAATTGATAGAACAAAGTCAAACCATATCATTCAGTCACTTAGAGAAATTGAAACAGTTATAAAAATTAAACAATGTGATAATCGAATTTGTATCTTTATTGGGATTGTAATTAGTTGTATATGCATTCATATATCAGTCTGTCCTGGCTACAGATGGGAGGTGGGAGGGGACGATGTCTCTCTAACATATCACTCTATGGTAAACAAACTCACACATTTAACCTCAAGTCTGATCGAATCCACCTAGCTCTGTTCTAATAACACTGGACTATGGACAACTAATTAATATATATGATTCTAAACATAGATAGACTCATCTCCATGATCCCCAAAAAATCCAATATCAAACAAAAGTTTTATTGAATGGAGATCTTAGATGAGGAAATGGTTATGTAAGAGAGATGAAACCGATTGAATACAATAAGCTTCCACAAATTTGTAATTTATACTATTCTTCTTTTTTGGCTTCCACCAACTTCCTAACTTGATGTGATGAAAATGATAAGTTGATTATATCTGAATAACGTGCTCTCTTCAGGAAAATTAAAAACCAATGTATTTTTCAAGTTTCAATTCTTAACTAAGGTAGTATTTATGAAAAAGAAAATGATAAGAGCATTTTTTGCGAAAGAAAATATTTCACCATGCACAAGGTTTTAAGCGAGAAGAAAAATGTCGAGGGCTCTGCAAAAGTTCCTTAGAAACTTTTTGTTCTTTGCTTTGTTTCATGATGTACTTACAAAACAAAGGTTAAAGAATCAAGAAACTATATTTTTCAAGTTATAAAATTATGTAAAGTTGTAACATATTTGTAGCTGTTGTCATCTAATAATCATGTTGTGAAAGAGATCACCATGATCTGTCATAAATTAGCTAGGGGAGGTAATCACCAATTTATAGTAAACTGGACTCCAATTGTTGGAACTCAGTTTTTGACAAATGGTTCAGGCCAGTTTTCCGGCGACATTTCCGGTGAGCACAGTTACCGAAATGACCGGATTATGGATTCTTTGGATTCTTTGTAATGAGTACTATAAGATAATGTATTCACTTGTCAAAAACGAAGTTAATTTAAATGAGAAATCTTTGGTCAAAGTAGGCATGTAATCAAGACAAAACGTTAACAAATGTCAAGATAAGCATTTTGTCCCACATCAAAAGTTGAAGAATTTTCCACTAGTATATATAGTGACACACTCTCAACAAGGTTCAGTAGCCTTTAGAAGAGGACACTATGGGGAAGGAGAGAAAGGGCTGTTATGCAAAACCACACACACGCGCGCGCGCCGTGCTGGACCGGGCCGGGCTCGGGCTCGGGTCTTGGGTCTTGTGGGCTTTAGCCCACAACAAAATGTTCTTTTTGGAGTAAATATTTATTAACTTATTTTCACAAATATGTTAATATTCCTTAAAGATAATTTGCATAACTCGATAAATCTTTATGATTGGGTCAAAAATTAATAACAGAACATTTTCGTAATATATCTGCTTCGCCCAGATCCTTATCAGAAAGGAATAAAATATTTCTAGAATATTTCTGTTTCTATTATTCTTTGCGATCAACGAATAGAAGATTTTCGGAATATTTTCGTTTATCTATAAGTGGCGGCCTTTGTACCCCAATCATTCTATCCACTATATATACTCGCCTCTCTCATTCATTATTCTTGATCAGCGAAAACTTATAGCTTTCAAAAACATAAATTTCCAGTAAATCCCTCTCGTCTCTACAGTCTTAGGTGAGTCTCGAGAGTATAGCGTAAAATATTCAGTTCGCAGATTCTATAGTCGGGTGCTGCGACTTTAGTCTCAACACGGTTGTATCCTGGGATTCTGAATCTCTTCAAACCGCCACACTGCGGGAGATTTAAAGAATTAAGGAAAGAGATCATATCTCGACTCCGTGTATCATCTTTCCTTAAAGGTTTTATTAAAATGTTTTATAAATTTTTATCATTTATTATTAATTTTAATCGTTCTTTGATTCGTGATTTTCAATTTGGATTTTCGCGGTCCTACAATCTTAATTCTTTAAATCCGTTTCCTACTAATCGCTTGAATCGGATTGAATATTGCGAACAATACTTCACAAACGATTTCATAAAACGATTTTAAAACGTTTTCTGATCGATCTACTATGCTTATGCGATTGTCTTATAGCCAACCGTAGAACGTTTGATCCTAAAAAATAGACGATTATCATAAAAGACACAAAAACGATTTCCGCATCAGCCCTAGGCAGGATTGCGAAACGTTTGTCTATAAACGATCTTATAGATCTGAAACATAGCGTTTAAGAACACCTTTAGGTGATTTCTGGGAACGACTATTAGGGTTTAAGAACGCTTTTAGGCTTTTAATCGCTTTTCTGGATTGAGATCTCAAAAACTAATCTAGTTCGTTTTCTGTGATTAGATTCAGAATGTCTACTGACGTTGGACTTCCGAAGAACACAAGTGAGCCGACACTCCCACAAGGGAATGGTCTACCACACACAGTTCCATCGATTCCAACTGCTGGACTTCAACCTGAAAAGTTTGATGGAACAAACTTTAAGCAGTGGCTGAAGCGGATGCACTTCTTTCTGTCCACGTTGCACCTGGCAAAGTATCTCACTGAGACTAAACCAGTGCTTCCTGCTGAGAATACAGATCCGCACATGCTTGCTACTGTCCAAGCGTGGATCCATGCGGACTTCCTGTGCAAAGGTTACATCCTGAATAACCTTGCAGATCAGCTGTACGGCATGTACAGTGAAGGTTACGAGACTTCCAGAGATGTCTGGATTGCTCTCGAAAACAAATACAAGACCTTCAATGTGAGTTCTGGAAAATTTGCAACTGCGAAACTCCTTAACTTCAGAATGGTAGACTCAAGGCCTCTTATGGATCAAGTGCATGAGCTACAAACGATATTCCAGCAAATATCATATGAAGGCATGAAGCTGTGTGAGACCTTCACGGTTAACTGCTTCATGGAGGTGCTGCCAACAGGCTGGGACGGTTTCAAGAGCTACCTCAACTACAAGCAGAAGCCTTTGTCGTTGGCTAACTTGATTACCAGGCTTCAGAATGAGTCACAAAAACGTGACAAAGCTGAACCACCTCAGACACATGACGCAAATGTGGCTGAGTTTAAGAAAAAAAGAAAAGGAAAGAGCTTTTCTCCAAAGGCTGC